TTAAAAGATAGTTAAGTGTATATTTTAAGTGAAAATTATATGAGGATGAAGATTTATTATTACAAGGATTCTGGAGTTTCACTTTTATTACACTTATATGGAATAGCCATTAATTGAGCTAGTTTTGAGCTCTGTACAGGGGCATATGTAAAAGATACAAAATTGTATTTTCAATTTACTAAGGAGGAATTTTGCTTATGAATATTACTTTATAAGGATGAATAGTACTTTTTAAATTCTCAAACTTTAAATGAGTTAATATGTTCAAACATTAAACTTTCACAAGTATGTCATTCTGAGTCACAGTTTGTCTTCATGAGATCAATCATTTCTGATGGGGATAGTGTTCAGTTTCCCTAGACTTCTGTGACGTGGAGTCCAGAATATCAAAGAAGCAACATTTTAGCTGCTTCCCTGCAAGGGGTGCTGTCCATATAGTCTTTTAAATCTTTGCTCCACACAGATCACAAAAGAAATCACAACTGTTTTTCCCTCGTCAGTTTTCCATCACCATCTTTTAATGTTTTGCTTTCTTTTCACTTTTATCTGTATTTTACAGTGGGATCAGTGGAGTTAGTTGGCTGGAGGGGTGTTCTGTTATCTCCCATCTTACATAATGAAGCCTAGATGTTTGTCTTAGAATTTTATCCTATTATATGGACCAGAAAGGAGACAGTATTTCATTCATTGCTTTGTGTTATCAGTTCTTCCTTGATTGCATGTCCATTCTTTTATCTTCTCAATTCTTATTTTCAAACTTATCTATTTTGTTCTTTAATTTCATATCTGATATTTTATGAATCACAAAAAAAGTCTAGGTTCTTCTAAAGGAAGATCCTCCTGTCAATGTGATTAATTCCACATTATATAACTTCAGGTCCAACTGACACAGTAGGTTTCTGTTTTTCATTTCTCTTCCCAATGAGTCCTTTTTTTAAATGATCCTTCATAATACAAATTAGTATTATGAAATTAATGGTTTTCATTAGTAATTCCTGTCATCTGCATGAGATTTCTATAGTTTTGTTACTCAATGAGAACGTTTCCTTCATTTAAATTAAAAGATGCAACTTATGTATTTTGCATATAGTATATCAGTAAATGTTAATTATTAGTATAAATACCGAGGTTACAATTATTATTATTTACTTTAAAGAAAACCACTTGTTCTCTTTTCCTATTGAATTTATGACATTAAACAATACAAGGAACTAACTATGCATAGAAGACTGGATATTAGAATTTGTGTACCATTTATTTTCTCATCTCTGTGACTGAAATAGCCAGGAGAGAACAATTTAAAGGAATAATTTATTTATTTGGCTGGTGGTTTCAGAGGATTTTTTTCATCAGTATAGGGAAGGCATGGCAAAGCAGAGAAGTTTAAGTCATGGCATCTAAGAAGAGGTGAGGGGTACAGGGGAGCCAGGGCGAGCTATAGATCAAAGGACATGCCACTGGTGACATACTTGCTCCAACTAGCCCTTAGAAACTACCTTTCACCACCTCCCAATTTTGTTTTCATATTATGAGTTCATTAAGGGATTAGCCCATTCATTAGGTCACAGCCCTCATGATCTAATTGCCTCTGGAAATGCCATCACAGACACACTCAGAGGTGTGCTTTACTAATCTCCCGAGAGTTTACCAATTCAATTAAGTCTACAATAAAAATTAACCATCACAACTTGGATAATTCTTTGTAATTTTTCTAGCAATTGAAATTTACCAGTCTACCAATTGGAATTTAGGAATTCCTCAGTTATGGATAATTGGAAAAATTAAAATCATTTCCTCTTACTCAAACCCTATGCTCTTATATACCGTTACGCATTTATTGTCACATTGTCAATAGTTTTCTTATAAGTATATACAAACCATGTTTTCTAAACATCAATGACCTTCCAAAGATCTTTTGGTTCTTCACTTTAATTATTTAACATGCCAAAACCATGTCTTATTTGGTGAATTGCTTACACTTCATCACCTATCTTAGAGTCCTCCTCTATGTTCATAAAACTTTCTTATTAATAATAATAACCCTTGCTCTTCAAAATAATAGTGTCAATATCAATACCTATTTATCAAAGAAACGTCCTTCCACAACCACCAAATCCTAATGTTTCTCCTACTTGTTAGGACATCGGTCCTAACAAACTGTGTTCATAGAATTTTGGAATAGGGCCTTCCTCTTCCTTCTCTTTCTTCTTTTTCTCTCTTTGCCTTCTTTTTCTATTTCTTTCTTTCTTTTTAAAATTTTTCTTTCTTGGCATATGTACACATCTATGCATATACACAGAATGTATACACAGACAGACATACACACATTCTATTTGGTGGTGAGGTCTACTATGGGCTGAATAATGTCCCTCCTCCCCCCCAAAAAAGATATGCTGGAATCCTAACTTCTAGCACCCAGAATGGGCTGTTACTTGGAGATAAATTCTGTATAAAAGCGACCAAGTTAAAACGAGGCCATTAGCATGGGCTGCAACTGAATACGCCTGATGTCCTTACAGAAAGGAGAATTTTGGATACAGAAACAACATGCATAGAGAGAAAATGATCTGAAGAGGTACAGGGAGAATATGGCCATCCACAAGCCAACGAGGGAGGCCTAGACTAGATTCTTTCCTCAGCCTTCAGAGGGAACCAACCCTGTCATTGAAACTCAAGCTTCCAGAACTACAAGGCAATACATTTCTGTTTAAGCTGGTCAGTTTATGTCAGCATTAGCAAAATAAATAAGGCCTAATATAAATTTGACAAAGGGAGAAATTCACTTACTGGAGAATTACTTTGGTATTTGGGTGTGTCTTTAGCTTCTGTCAAAAGAACTTGAGGTTTTACTTTCTAGAGTGTTAATTTCCTGGAATAAACTTTTAAAACTTGTTTTTGCTTTATAAAACCATGATGTGGTAGTTGGAGAACTACATTTGACTGAAAAGAGCAATCCAGAACCATGTATAAGACACAAGAAACAAGATTCACTGTCACCTGTAAGTACACCTCTTTTTCCTGTCAGCTGTCATTTAAAAAAAAATGCAATTGGCTTTAGATTCTTTCTGTCACTTGTTGGAAAGGGTGGAGCACTGAGGAAAGAAAGGGTGTGGAGAGCTGTGTGTAAATAAGGCAGCCAGAAGCTCCAGAGAGGGTAAGGACAGAGCTTTACGGAAAAAAAAAAAAAAAAAGGTATGAACCTGGTTGGCATAAGACAGCTTCCTCCCACCCACCCTTCTAGAGCTGTGTGCTTCAGGGTGGTGGCGCGAGGCTGATGGCTAGTGGTGCTGAAGGGACAGCTCCAGCAAGGGCTGCTTTCGGGTGGGGGGCGGGGAGAGGACAAAATCTGCAGATCAAAATTCAAGCTGGGTGACTTCACCTTCAAGTGGGTGAGTTCTCCTGATCTCCGGCCAGCCTGTGTTCCACACACGCCAGCTGATCTGCGGGTTCCCAGGAAGGGTCGGGCAGCGCCGGCTGGACCCGCCCCGAGCTCCATGGTTTGCCCAGCCCTGCGCGATGGTGACTCTGGGCGCGGAGGGTGGCGATGGGCGAATCCGCAGATCACACAATGAAGGCGGGGAGCGCGGCTGGCGGCCGGCGGGGGCTGTCTCCGCGACCTCAGCGCCCAGAGAGGCGGCCCAACCACCTGAACCCAGAAAACGCCAACAAGTAGTTTCTCGTCGGAGAAGGGCAGCTCAGCTGGCCACCAAGACTCAGTCCAGTTGCCGGGAGAACCCCATCCACTCGGAAACCAAATCAGAACGACTTTCCTCTTGGTTTCCTTAAGGTATTTGGGGACGAGGGCGGAGTTGGGCGGGGGGGGGAAAGGTGATTTCCTGGGAAGGGCATGCTGACCCTGCAAGGCAAGCTCCCCGCCTTTCAGCGTTAAGAATGTAGAGATGAAGCCCCGGGGAGAGAAGAGGTGGCTGAGGGGCTGGAAATGGGGACACCGTCAGCCAGACTTCCAGTCACGGACCCAGGGGGTGTGCCTCCAGGGGCTTTCTCCCTGGGCCTCGCCCCTTCTAGGAGGCAACACCCCACTCTCCACCCCCAAAGCATTTGTTTTGTTTTTCTTGGGAAGGGGGATGGGTGGGAGGTATTGCTCACTTCTGTTCTCAAAGATGGATCCTAGTTAGTGTTTTCTTTCTCAAGTAATAATAACATTAACAACAACAGTAACAATAATGCGAAAAGGAAATTGGATGAGGAAATTAGTCAGAGGTCTCCTTGGTGAAAGGCAACCGCGGGAATTTTTTTTTTCTCTGACTTCTGCATTTAAGTCTTTTTGCATGGTCCGTGACAGAGAGTAGAGGTGAACCAAGAACAGGTCGTGCAAAGGGCATTCCGGGAGTGCTAGCAAGCCGCGCACCGGCCAGGGGCGACCAGGGTATGCCAGCAATAGGGTCTCTCTGCGCTGTCCGGGTTGGGGGGAGACACACTCCACTGCCAAGTTGCCTTAGCGAACTCCTGTCTGAGGGATTTACATCCAGGCTAAGGGAGTTGGAGAGCAAGGGGGTCTAGGAGAGTGGAAGAAAGGCACCGTCCAGGGAAGAAGGAGAGAATGGAGCAAGGGAGGGGGAGAAATAGGACTTGGGAGGAAGAGATAGAGGGTTTGAGGAGGGAGAGAGGACTGAAAACATGTTAGACTTAACAGAGGTAGAGAGGAGGGAGTGTGGAGGGTGAAAAGATGAAGAAGAGACCAGAGCCAAGACTGGAAGGTGTGAGGCGGGGGAAAAGGTTTTGTGGAAGGTCAAGAAAGACTTGAATTGGTATCTTAGTTCAATGGAAGCCTGGGAGAGTGTGATGCAAAAGGAGGGGGCAGGACTGGACGCGGAGCGCGTCCTGAAAGACTCCTTTGCCCCTTGCCTGTCTGCCAGCTCTGCATCTTGGGACTCTTGGGTTGGTGGGGGTGGGGGCTACAGTATGTATCTCTCACAGCAGAGATCTTTCACTTGACTCTGTTTTCGCCTCCCTCCCCCAGTCATGTCTGAGCCACAGAGATGGGCAAGATCGAGAACAACGAGAGGGTGATCCTCAATGTCGGTGGCACCCGGCACGAAACCTACCGCAGCACCCTCAGGACCCTGCCTGGAACGCGCCTGGCCCTTCTCGCTTCCTCTGAGCCCCAGGGTGACTGTCTGACCGCGGCGGGTGACAAGCTGCAGCCGCTGCCCCCTCCACTGTCTCCGCCGCCGCGACCGCCTCCGCTGTCCCCTGGCCCCGGCGGCTGCTTTGAGGGTGGCGCGGGCAATTGCAGCTCCCACGGCGGCAGCGATGAGCACCCCGGGGGCGGTCGCGAGTTCTTCTTCGACCGGCACCCGGGCGTCTTCGCCTATGTGCTCAATTACTACCGCACCGGCAAGCTGCACTGCCCCGCCGACGTGTGCGGGCCGCTCTTCGAGGAGGAGCTGGCCTTCTGGGGCATCGATGAGACCGACGTGGAGCCCTGTTGCTGGATGACCTACCGCCAGCACCGTGACGCAGAGGAGGCACTCGACATCTTTGAGACCCCCGACCTCATCGGTGGTGGTGACCCTGGCGACGACGAGGACCTGGCGGCCAAGAGGCTGGGCATCGAGGATGCAGCCGGTCTGGGGGGGCCCGATGGCAAGTCTGACCGCTGGAGGAGGCTGCAGCCCCGCATGTGGGCCCTCTTTGAGGACCCCTACTCATCCAGAGCCGCCAGGGTAAGGCCTGACCCACCCTTCCCTGCTGTTCCGAGTTCTCCCAACTCCTTTTCCAACTGTCAACTCTTTTCCATCCTAGGGCTTCTATCTGGGATGAGGGATAGAGGGGATAGAGAGCAGGGGCTCCCCAGAGGTGAGTTTTGAGGTTCATCTGGGGTAAGGTAAATCCAGGGATCCTGACTCCACCCCACCCTCCATCGTTCTACCCCTCCCCTTGTTCCCACTACTCCCCTCCAAACTCAAACTGAGATTTATTTACTTTGGCAGATAAGACCCAAAGGCCAAATGTTGAGTTTGTGGTGAAACCAGCATCACCTACATCTTGAGTTTTTTCCTTACTCTTTTGTTCCAACTTTTTTCTTTAGCTACGATGTTTCCTTGGTCATTCGGATGTGACATTTTCAGTGAGGCCTGACTCTTTTTCACTTCTGACTCACCCAGGGCCATGGCTCCAATTAGGGATTTAATCTGAAGACAGAGGAAGGGGAAATGGGATATGTGTGTGTGGCTGTGGTGGAGGAGGGCAGCTAGGAGCCTCCTTTTGTGAAGCGAATGCTTCCTGGGCCTGTCTCTGCCTAAGGGATCAGAAGCTGGTATGGTGACTGCTTGTCCCAGTGAGTTGACCTCTCTCCACACTGGATTTTCAAACCTAATGCCTTTCCTCTTGGGTTGTATCTGTGTTCCTTACAGGTTGATGGCAAATCACTTTGCTGATCCTCATTCTGTTCTCTAAAATCTGCATAATTTAAATTACAGCAAACTTTATTTTACTTTTTGTATTGTGATCTTTTTGTTTTTGCTTTCTTGCTTTTGTGACAGCTTAAGTTTAGTCCTTGACACTCCCAATTAATTCTTCAAAATCCCATGAAGGGACTATAAAATTAACTGATAATGGTTTCTCTAGTTTAAAGGAAATAAAAGAAATATAAATAACCAAAATTATACAGTAAGTGAATGGTTTTTAATTATATATGAGAACAGAGTACTGTATTTAGTTAAATCTTTGCAACTGCAACTTTCTGGTTTGCTTCTGCCATCCCCAAAAGATGTCCCCTGGGCAGAATGGGAATTTTCCCAACTTTATTGGCTCCATCCTCACTATTGTCTTTCTTTGCGTGTCAGGAATCCGTGCATCTTAGATATTATGCTGTTGTCAACCCACCAACTTGTCAGAAGATGTGCTTCTCATAGCACTTTGTAAGTCTGCAGTTGTGTTTTGTTTTCAATGAGAAGTAGAATGTGAAAGAGACAATTTAAAACACTGCAACTCTCTCTTTTTTTTATTATTTTGTTATTCATATGTGCATACAAGGCTTGGGTCATTTCTCCCCCCCCCAACCCCTCCCTTACCACCCACTCCGCCCCCTCCCTCTCCCCCGCACCCTCTCAATACCCAGCAGAAACTACTGCAACTCTCTTGGATTTGGCATTTGACTGCATATGTAAATTCTAGAATGTCTACATTCACACACTTGAGTGGAGAATTAATAACTTCAACTCTGAAATCTTCAAGAACATTCTATAAATGCAAAAGGGTTTCCAATCAGAAAAAGTGCACATTTATTTAAATTAAATCACATGCTATGACCATTACATCTGTGTTTTTTAGTTTCCAGCTGAGTGCCATGGTGTTCTTTCCACTTGGTGGTTAAAAAGATAATCTGAATTTGTTTTCAGGCTCACGTGATTTTTTCCCCACATTATGTGCTATAAAAAAGTCAGAATGTTTTATTGCCTTTCCTTATGATAACATACCATGAGGTCCTTATGCTTATTTTAGATTTTATTGTAAGCCAGGTTATATAGTAAAAACTTTAAGAAGGTGCCCAACTTTCATCGTTGATATGGTATATTAGTCTATTGATTATTGACCAAAAAGGTAGATCATTGACTTGAAAACAGTTTGTTTTTTAAATCTTACTTAAATTTTATTGTAATTATGTAGAGGATTTGACCTGCATCTATTTTAGGTGAAGGAAGAACATAGAAATTTTAACACAAGGTCAAGATCAAGTAGAAGTAAAACAAGCTAAGAATCAGAGACTTGAAAAAATGTTTTTGAAGTCACCTAGTCAAGACCCTTTATTTTCTAGCTGAGGAAAATGAAGACTTAGATGCTAAGTGGGGGCCAAGGTCATACATAAAGTTAATAGTAGAACCAAAATTATTGTAAAGGTCTAATGACATCCTTCTCAGGCCCTTTCCACCCAAATTACTGATTATAACTGACTCAATTGTGAAATCTCCGCAGATTGCATGGCTCTTGAAACTTGTTGGTACATAATACATTCACTAGCTCTAACTTGGAAAGGTCATTTATGAGTTTCTAAACTATATGTATTCTAGGACTTTGGCTGGTAGAATTTTTACCCTGTAATACCCAGAAATAGGATAAAAAATGGGACTTCACTTAATTTCTTACAATGAACTCATTTTGAACTTTTCTTTCTTTTTTTTTTTTTGTTGACCAGCCAGTGTTTAATGATCTGCTTTCTTTTGTGGGCTTTGTCTTCAGGGAAATCCCTTTTCGAATTACTAGGTGTTCCCTAAATTAGAGGACATCATTCTATTTAAAAAGGAGCTAACATTTTTATATAAACACTTTTAGTTCAGATAATGGCCTGACAATGTTATCTGACTACTTTGATAAAAAGAATGGCACTGGAAAGCCACAGGGTGAAACTATACTTTGCATGGACAGAATTCCAGGAAACATAAGTCAGTTATCCAGGTATTTGCTTCTGCTGGTTCTTACTTCCACAAGACTCATTGTTAACAGAATTTAAGTACCCTTTTATAGACTCTGTTTTTCACATTAGCTTAACTTTTATTGAAATGCTTTCATGGGCAATTTGAATTGTCTGAATTTATGATATTGAGGAGAGTGGCTTCATTATAAAACAGGTGTGTTTTACTTCTAACTTTTATAATCTAAACACGAGATAATTAATTGAATTCTACAAAACTGTGCTTTTGCCTTTTGTTGGTTGGTATGTCCTCCTGCTCTAGGGTTTTGACTTATAATGTAAATGCATACTTGAGGGATCTAAATTACTGTAGTTAATTTGCTAAGTAAGTTTATATTTTTATACTTATGAATTCTTATCCTTAAGAATAGTATTCAAAAAATAGAAATTTATGAAAATTCCAATAGAAGTTGTCATGGAAACCTGTTGTAGAAAACAAGAGATTAGGAAAGAAAGAGATTATTTTGTTGTTGCCAGTGATGATATTTACAAATAGTAAAGAATAGAGATTTGGTAAGTGTACTTGTAAAAATGTGTTGTATAATTCCAATTTAATATTTAAGTTTTAGAAGAAAAAAAGGGTTCTATGTGCTTTTCTCTGAAGACTCAATATTGTAAGAAATCAGACTAGAAATTCTTGGATAGAATTTCTAGATTTTTTAGAAATTAAACAATAGTAAAAATACAAAATACTAGAATTAGAAAATATTTCAAATAATTTGTTTCCAATATGAAAGAGCTGAGAACTCTTGTTCATTTATTTTTGGTGGGAAGTTGAGATGATGTAATTCAGTTCTGTTTTAGATTATGACGCCTTTTCTGTGATTTTTCTATGTCTTTGACTACCAGATAGACCTTTCACTTTTTACTTTCAAGGATTATTTTTAAAAAGTAAAAGAAAATAATAACCTTCACAGAACTACACTTAAGGTTTTGGCTTTTGGGCATGGATCTAAAGGTGGTTGGCACCTTTTCCTAGGACAACAACCATCCTGACCCAAACATTGGTTACGGTAGTAAATGGATAATTTAAATAACATCTTGAAATACTCACTTTATTAGCATTGTAGATTATTTAATTTTCACAGCATTACTAAAGTATATGCCTTAAGCTATCAGGTATGATATATTTGGTACTTGTAATAACTTTTGTAAATACCACAATGTACCCCCACCCAGCACAACAATAAAAAAAATAAATTCCAGTACCTAGAATTAGATTAAAATTTTCAAATATTTTACATACTTTCTATGGACCACTTTTTTCCATCTTCCCCCAACCCCAAACAAAACAGGAAAGAAATGATCTAAATAAGTAATTGCTAGCATTTAGTAACATTTATTTTAAAGAAAATAATATAGAGACAATTTGAGTCACATGTTAAAATTTTTTAAAAAATGAATTAATTCTTATTTTGTAACCATTGTAACATAAAAGGATGAACAAATATAACTTATTCACAAAATATTTTTGTCAACTACTAAAATTTTTAGAAAGCTTGTTTATCTAATGAATATTGGTTATGTAATCTCAAAGACAGCAATGTTGTAGGACTTGGGCAATATGCTAAAGGGAGAGCACATGGGGAGGTATGGGGATAGGCTGGAAACCCAAAACAGGAAAGTGTTTGATATCCTCACTGCAGAAGAACTAATACAGAAGCCTTAAAGTGACAGAGGTCAGTATGGGAAGGGGATCAGGAACTAGTGAAAAGGTCAGGTAGAGATGAATCAACTTGGGTTATAACACATTTGTGTATTGAAGCAATGCTAGGAATCTCTCTGTATAGCTATCCTTTTCTCAACTAGCAGAAACGCTTTATCTTTCTTATACTGCTTATGTCTTCTCTTCAACAAAATTAGAGATAAGGGCAGAACAGGTTCTGCCTGGAAGCAAAGGAGGGTTGGGGAGGAGAGGGAGGGAGTGGGAGACATGGGGGAGGAATGGCCCAAACAATGTATGCACATGTGAATAAATGAATAAAAAAATTTAAAAAAAGTGTAGAAAGTAATGGGAATGCATAGAGAAAATATAGTTCTTTGCTTCAATAAACTATTTATAATCAAACATTTTCTGATGACAGTTATTATTTAAAAATACAAGATAATGGCAAAAATATTCCAGAGTTATTGAAGATAAGTTTTCCAAAAGAAGTCTCACATAGAAATATTGGTTGACAAATATAGGAATGATGGTATAGTTGGTGTTAAAGTATGTACTACAGAAGTGTTAGTCTCTTTTAATTGTTTTCTCTTTATACTGGATTTGTGGCTTCAGATACAACTAATCATCTGAGATTCATTTTTCCTTTGAGCTCACACTCGCCTCACTTTTCCTTTATCTTCAGGGCCATTCCTTCTTGTCTTCACTCTTCCTTTTCTTCCATCAACTTTTTATATGTTGGTGTTTCCCTAGATTTTTTTCCATGGTGCTTTTGTTTCTCATTCTAATATGTACACTCTTTGGTCAATTTCATGTACTACACTGTCAACTGTGTTTCAATTATTGCATAAGTAGCCTTCTAGCTTACATTTTCCTTTTAGATTTTTTTGACCAATTTGACAAGTATAAAATCAAACTTGCTCACCCTTGCATTATGCATCTTGGTAGATTACAACACCATCTATCCTGGAAAATAAGTCAGAAATCTGGACATTAACTTAAACTTCTTCTCATTCATCCAATTATTTGATTGCAGAAACTGTTGGATGTCTATTCTTTCCAGATCAATATTGTCACATTTGCTTCACCCCAGTGTCCCTGCTTGAGTTTAGACCCTCATTCGCTCATCTCTCAAATTACTCTTAGCAGTCCATACCTCCAGACTTCTAGGATGTCTTTAACTCCCTAAACTTATTCTCTTTATCCTGTTTCCAGGAGTTTCCTTTAGTTAAAAAATTAATTAGTGCCACAAATTCCCAGAATAAAATTCAAACTCCTCAGTATGGCAAATTAGATCTTTGTTACCTGGCTTCTGTCTTCTTCTCAAGCGTCAACATCTTCTCATCACTTATTTTTTTTAATTAACTAATTAAATGTTCAATTGATAAATAATGGGCAAATTTGAATTGTTCAGTCGGTAGGGAATGAGAATTTTAAGTCGAGGGCTCTTTTAATCTTGATTTTTGTGTCTTCAAAGCAATTCACAGGCTCTCTTTTTACAATGTAGCAAAAGCTGTACTTACACTAAACAATTGAACTATTTGGGGTATGGCTAACCTTATTAATTCTTTCAATATTAATGACTATTCATGGCTAACCATATGATAATGCAAATCCAAGCTTCATATCTTTGAAGAGTCTGCTGTAAGAGTCTGGTGTATTTGCATTTATCATACAAGCACTGAAGAAGTGTCTTTTGCCCTTTCCCAAGCCATTAACTGTACAATTCACAAACAAATTTACTTCTAATTAAGTTAATAAACTCCAGCATTGAATAGGATCAGAGAGTTCCTGATTCAATAAATGACTAAAAGAACCAAGGAACTTCAACTGTTACTTGTATTTTCAGTAGCATATTTGGTCACACACTAGATGATCTGCTCTCTTGCTGGGCATCAGTTATACCAAAGATGAAGGTAGAGGTTCAGATTAAGAATGAATTTTTCCTGTAATATTTTGCTAAGAGCTCATTTGTAGACTTGATTTGAAAAAACTAAATGACAAACAAACATTTCTTCCTTGTCAAGAAGTTTATTTTCACAGTAAATAAAAACAAGGAAATGTTTAAGTTTACATAGAGACGCGAATCAACCTTTCCCATTTGAAAATGTATATCACTGCCATTTATTTTTACAACTACAAGTAAAGTAAATGTGATTTTCAGGTCTCATGTATTTCCAGCTTGTGAGTCATATATCCTTTTTTATGGCAACCTTTAAAATATGCCTAAGTGAAATAATAAAGGGTACTAAAGATAAACACCAATCTTCAGAAGGAAATACATAGTAGCAAAATGGTCTAAACACCAACCACAAATATATTACATATACTTAATTCAATTCTATTGAAGTATGAAAGACTTGCTTTAGAAGAGGCAAGATATTCTTGTATGATGGAATAGCACTGCTTTATGATTTCTTTACAGGTTCAAAACTGGTAATTAATTTTAATTCTGTGTAGTCAATATTTTCACAGAAAGTGAACAGAATGTGAGTTGTGGGCAGAGAAGAAAGCAGGACAAAGAATATATTGAAACAGAACTGCTTTGCAGTAGGACCTATGAGACCTGTGCACTAACCCTGATCTCAACACTGGTTGAATGACTTTGGAGAATTTACTTTACCTTCTTGAGTTTTTATTTCCTTTGCTTTATTCAGAAATAAATTTTAAAAAATGGTGATGACACATTGAATTAGGTAGTATCCAAACTTCTTTCCAGTTCTGAGATTTTGAGATTTGTAGGATAATTATTGCTAAAGGTGCTGGGTGGTAATAGGGAAAGAACAACCTGTCTGTACCCATTTTGATTGCACTCTGAGGACCATCATACCAATAAGGTAAACCAGAATTGATTTTTTTCATTTTTAACTTTATGCCCTTTTTTTCCTACAGCTGTTGGGTAGCTGCTGCTCTGGTTACCATAGAAACAGGTTAGCTCTTAGCTTCCTGTTTCCATTGAAAACAGCTTTCTCTTAACCACATATTGATCTCAGGAAATCATTTTGCTGTGGCTCTGTCATGAAACCCATAAAGATGATCGGCTGTGTCATTTCCTAGATCTAAGATTCAGTGCAGGTATATATCTATCCACCCACAAGGGTAGCTGATTAGATAATCTCAGTTTTATTTCCATTTGAAAAGTGCCTTGTCAAAGACACCATCCTTTTCCCCTTCCCATATTTATACAGAAGGAAAGTCTTTTCACTCGAGGATTTACAGATATTCCTAACATATTTGGAAGTTTACAAAACAGTGTCAAATTATTCAGTCCAAATCTCTTTTGTAACCTAGTCTATCAGAACAAGAAGAGAGAAAAATCCTCTTCTGAGCATACTTCGTAAGTTTAAGTTTTAATGTGCTCATTGATAAAGACAATTTCAAATTGAATATATATGTGCAGTGTATAGCACTCCATACTTCTCCTTTGAGAAAACAATTTTTCTATTTCAGAGTATATGTAGCTATATAAAAAGAGGATACATTCACTATTATAACACAGAGATGTACTCAATAAATAAGTTTGTAAAATTTTATAAGGGTAAGGTGAAAGAAAATGGTAGGAATATGACTTAAAGTTCTGATTCAGAACATTAGTTTATGTATACATATGTGTATATGCTTGCATTATTTATATCCAAAATATAAACTACTTTAATGAGATTAGTGAGCAGGATATTTGAGGGACTTCTGGTGTTTATGAGGATTGGAAGTAGAAAAAAACTGGAAATTATCTAGCACAATTGTCTCAGTTCAATGATAAGGCAGCTTGCACACTCTGGCCATGAGTAGTTACTGATAATGGCCAGGCTGGTTGTAGACCTGACTTCTGATTC